CATGAATGTTTACAATGTTAAGAACTGAACACATTTGATCACATAATTGAGAACTTATACCTTCAACTGAGTAACTAAATTGTCGGCGACTTTCTTAAGCAGGGATATAGTAGGTTTGTCTTTACAGAGCAGCACTAGCTCCAGATCTAGGTCTCCCTTAAGCAGCAGCCCTTTGGCTACCAACCCCACCCGCATGACGCCTCTCAGAGAGCGCGACACCAGTTCTTTGTGGTCACTGTAAACACACAGCACAGTCAAAGGGGATTCATATAAAATGCCCTCCACATTAAGTAGCAACAAGGTAGATATACCTTTCCTTTTCAGGATCAGCTACATCAGAGCAACCCTTCTCCTCTTTGTCCAGCCAGTCAGACACAGCTTTGAGGGCCCTTTCTGTGTGAGAGATCATGTTCTGGACGCCTTCCAGTTCTTCCTGTGTGGGGTAAATGGCTGAGTGTTTGGCCATCACATGGCGGTCATCATTCATGAAGACTCGCATAGAGCGATGACGCATTGGAGGAGGCTGAGGAGAACATAGAGCAAACATCAGATGGGTTTTCTTGGGGTAGACATTTTAGCCTTTAGAAATGCCAAAATTATGAAAAAGTAAGCATGTACATAAATATTTTCATCCCAAAGAGAAGGCATGCAAAAACCCCTCCAACTTTCTACTATGTTTGTCAATTCACGACTGGCTAAATGTGTAGCAGAGCTTGTATCCCCAGTGTTATCACTGCATTAAAGTGGACAGGAGCCAGTCCTCAGTGACTGTGTGCAACTAAACCACCGACAGACTGGAATAACAAAATGCCAACATTAGCACAACTGAGTCTTAAACTGGAGGTGACATGCTCATATGAGTATGACCTGACAAGCAAGTTGCATTCTGAAACATACCAAAGACATGACATATGAACGAAAATGTGATCCTTAAAGATGCATTTACAGTTACCATTCTCATTTGGAGTCCTTGAAGTAGTTGGTACCAGTGTTAGAAAAAAAGAGGTCCTCTGGACACCAGCGGATGTTACGATCCGTTTCTAGATGGGATTAACCACAATGTGATTAGAAATGCAACACACAAGAAAAACAATTATAACAAAACAAATAATACAGTAATTATAATTTAAATAATATTTAAAATTAAGAGACACAATTGACCCCTTTTTCCGTGTTCACTCTACCACTCTGAAATAGCAGAGGCCAGCTGCAGCAGCAGCCAGATTGTTGGCAAAGGAATTCTTGCCTCAGGCTGAAAGCAAAGTCCATTTCACATGAACAGTTTTAGTTCAAGGCCATACCTCACAAAAGAGAAAACACCAGACACTCGGATACTGTTGTAGATGAAATGCTATTCAGAAAATCAAGAAAAGAATAATGATTTCGCAATCATTTCATAAAGTTGTTTCTTTCGTACAAATCGTATCAAAACACAGTAACAACTCATCTGCCAAGCCAATTTAAGTACTTACTAAAATGGTATAACAACAAAAAATAAATTACCGTAAGAAATAAAATAAACAAATCTTAAATTAACTATATGTACACAAAAATACAGTTCAATATGTTCACAATGACTGGGCCGTGGGCACACTTGTTGTGCAAGTGGTCCACGAAACAATACCAACATATAAACCAATCGTTGGTACGTGGGAATCTAACTCAATATTTTGGAGAAAGAACCATCACCTAAACCTACATCAAAGGAATTAAAAGGAGACGCCATTTTAACTCGGTCCAAATGGCGACGTCCGCGGCAGCAGCAGCAGCAACGGCGGCGGCCGCCAACCCCCACCACACCGCACAATGGGAGATGCTCCGCGCTCACAAAGACACCAAACTACAGCAACCAGTAACAGTTGAGTGTAAGAGGAAATATTGATTGTATCGTGTCAATCCTGTTTTTCTTTTTTTTTTTTAACAACTGATGATAAAGCAGCCGACAAAACGACCTGTAGATAAAGACCACATTCAGCACGGAATATGTGTTAGCCGTCTGCTAGCCTGTTAGCATACCAATATAAAGACAAATTAATATAGCAAGCAAATGATACTAACGGTATTTATGGCTTTCTTTGAGTCCCCGGGGCAGTCTACCAAGTTTTTTTGATAGATATGTCCTCGATTGTTCTTACCGTGATGTGGTTGAAATGGACGGACGGTGCTGCACGTTAGCTCCGTTAGCTCCGTTAGCTCCCGGTGGCGTCTGCAGTGAACACGGACCATACAGCAGAACAGCCCGGAGACTAAACCCCGCCCCCATTCCAACACGGAGGCTGCTCATTGGACCAAACGGTCACGTGATACAGCTCGTCTTCCAATGAAAACGCCGCACAGGTCGCGTTTTGTCTAAACCAAGACGAATTCACACACGAATTAAACTGCGTATGCGATAGTCTAACTGCTTTAAGCCTTTTTTATGCAACTTTTATGCAGTGTTTTTATTATTATCTATATGTGCACTGTACGTTTTCTGGGGGAGGGTCCGCCACTTGCTTGTTTTCATGGAGAGGGAGACCAGAATTTCGAAATAAAAAACTGGGACATTTACGGTTTTTTTGTGGTTGGTAATGATAAAATTGTGAAACGAGTGCATAATTAAGGAAAATGGTTATGCAGAGACCATTTATGACTAACATGTGAGTCGATATGGTCACATTTTCTTTGTGTTTTGGTCGTTTTTGAGAAGCTTTTTTGTATTTTATCTAAACAAATGACAATTTATTCCACTCTTTACTGTTGGCAGGGATGAAATTGGTCAAAAATAGGGACATCGGAGACATTTCTTGTATAAAAATAAAACTGGGACAAATCAATGGTTTTGGGTGGGACACGTTTGGAGTTTACATATTCCCACTGTCAGTGCTATCTAATGTTTCACACTGGCATAGGTGTGTGCTTGCTAATACTATTTTGTATTGTAGGCCACTTTATCTATTGGTGGTTTTCAGATTGTAGACAATGATGGTGTCATAATCCCAAATGGATGCAAGAGCCACATCTCACTATTTTTACTTTCATGAGAGGTAAAGGTAAATTCACAAATGCTAAACCTAATAATTTCTCTGATTGACTAGACCCAAGAACTTGCTATGCTACTACATAAATCTGCATTTTAACAATAATTATTTTATCTCCTTATCTGTGTTAAATATTAATGATTTATAGAATGTTGTAATATAATCCGAAACGCAGCAATGGAGAGGCGACCCCGCTCAGTAATAATACATTTTTGAAGGTATCATTTGCAATAGAAAAACAGCAATTGAACACATTCCAAGCAAAGCAATAACCTCTAATTACACAGACATTTTGAGTTTTTGGTTGTACATATTTTAGTTTTAAAAATGCTTAGATTATGTTTTCTTAAATTGAGTGAAATATGTTTTTGAAAATGGGCTAATGGGTCCAAATTTTTCTACCACTGCATGTCGTTGTTGTCAAACATTCAGATTTCACGTCATATACAGTATCTTTCCAAAAGCCAGTACTCTTCTTTTAGAGCTATTTCATTGATGCAAAATCAAATAATTCATTTGTTAGGCCTAAATTACAACAGGTGGCATAACAATTTCAGCATACAACACCAGACAACCATGTTTTACAAATGATCTGTTTATTTTTAATGAGCTTTACATTCAGTTAGCTTCACTGACTTCACTTAATTCCCAGACACTTGGGAAATACTACACTCACACACTTCATAACAACATGCACACAATCCACACTATGTACACTTCACATCTAAGCTGATCAAATCACAGCTGAGGTAAAATAAAATGCTTTACTTTGAGATGTTTTCTATTTCATTTCAACCATGTAATTCAAAATTAAAAGATAATTAACAGTAATTAATAGCCTTTTTTTTTTTTACCATTTAAGGCTCAAATATTTGCTTTGAATGTATTTTAAAATCTTTTGTATTTTGTGCAACAAATAAACCATAATCACATGATAAGGCAAATAAATAGCCCATCTTACTACAGTAAATACCTGTAGTTGAAAATTACTACCAGTTGTATAATGATCATCGGTATTCCTCAGAACAATGTCACTTATTTTACATCATACGTTTACTTTATGAACTCTCCCCACTTGTTGATTGATTCTTTGATTACAACTGTATAAGATCTTATAACTTGAAGTAATTTGATTAAATAAATTACCTGCATTAGAAAAGTTTTAGCTTACTTCATTAAATTAGTAATGACCAAATGCTACCATTAGAGGGCCTTAAATGGCTGGAATGCTACAATAGCTTAATAAATCAAATTGCCTTTAAGACAAAACATTTAACAATAATTCAGTTTAACTTTTCTTTGCAATGTTTGCAAGCGTCATGCTGCTACTTTTCAGTGCTTCTCTAAAGTGCTACATTTATAAAAACAACCTTGCTTTTAGTCCATTATATTTTGTTACTGGCATTTTTCTCTGTTATGTGGAATGAGCTGGCTTCCCACCGGGCTGAACGAAAGATGCTTCCCTTCAGACTGGCCTGGCGTTTGGTGATGCGGTAAATTCTGCGGAGTATGGCCCGTCGGAGCAGAATGTACACCCAGGGGTCTAGGATCTGGTTACAGGCTGCCATCCGGACCCCTGTGATCATCAGTCTCCTGTATGTGGCCCTGTCACTGTCCAGAGATCCACTGTAGGAGCGCAGAGCAGACATAAGTCCAAAGACCTGCAGGGGGCACACAAAGTGATTAGTCATACATGTGAGGGCCATGTGTCAAATGTGTCAGATTGAATCAGGTTCATGATCTTAAAGTAGGACAATGAATGATGATGAAAACAAACTACAAAGCAACAAAAAGTGCTTTTTATTAAATATAAAAAGATTAAGAACTCGCTAATCTCCCTAATAAAAGTATAAATTGATGTTTCTGCAATACTACATTTTACAGGCTATTTATGTAATACCTGGTCCTCAACATTTAAGAAATGTATGCATATTTTAGCACATTTCCACAATAAAAGGAATCGTAATATAATTGTAATCCAGTGTTATTTGATAATAACATTTGTAATCTAGTACATTTTCCATGTTCTACGTATAACAACACAACAAAAACCTAAAAAAAAAAACAAGCCCTTTTACAGCAGCATTCCCTTTTTTGTCAAAGTGGTATGCAAAGAATGTTAATAACCCACTCGTCAAGACCATTATTTAAAAAAATAAATAAATAAAAATCATGCACGGTTCCGTGTTCCTGAAAGGAACATTTCAAGAATTTCCTGTATTTGGTGGTAAAATCCTAAATTATATTTCATTTACTTACCAGCAGAGGGCTCCAGCAGATACAGGATGTGACCATGATGCCCACAAGCTGCACCACCATCTCTGTGTCATTGGACCTCGTGGAGCGACTTTTGGAGCAGGTGGTGGTCTTTTTTAACCTTGCTCTCACCAAGGTAATTCCACTGATTGTATTACAAACAAAAGCTGAGGCTAAGGAGCTCAAGGCCAGTCCAGAAAACAGAATCACAAAGGCAAGGTCCTGCCCTTCTGTGCCCTCCGAGACCCTTATGAAGCACCATGTCCCGGGATACTGGTAGGTGTAGGTCCCTAGGTTGAAGACGGGCAGGAGGGCCACACATAACGCTACCAACCAGATCAGTGACAATGCTATTTTTGTCCGCGCTGTTGTCACTAACTGTGCATGTAACAACGGCTTGGTCACACCCAAACACCGCTCAGCAGCCATAGCACAACCCATAAAAAGTGGGCATAGTCCGAAAAATACCATGCAACCTCCCAGAAACAAGCAAGAAGCATCCGTGTCATTTGTTGAATCTGTGGTAGTACCATCAGAGTATTTCCTCATCACTAGCGCTCCATTGATAACATGTCCCGCCAGATCTGTAGCAACCAAAGAACTAGCAAATAGTAAGAAGGTGGCCTTGGAGCGTCGACGAAATCGGTTGTAGGCTTTAGCCAGGATGATCAGGGCCACAACGTTGAAAAGGATGCCCAGAGTCATGCTAAGACCTGCCACAAAGGGACTACTCTGTGGAAGAGTCCCATTCCTCACCACAGCCTCCACCTCCGGTTCCTGGAGTACGGTGAAGTTGGCCAGAAAGGAGGTTGTGGAGGTGGCAGGGGAGCCCGAGGAGTTGGGGTGCTGCATGGCCAACATCACCGCTGGGCTCTGGGGTTCATCTGGAAACTCCACCGGAGAGATGGCTAGAATAGATGGGAAACTGGATTAGAAATTGGTTATTGCATAGCTGTTTCCTGAATTATTTCATGACTGTAGGTTTTACATATTTGGCTACTTATGATTGTAAAGTCTGTATACAAAACCTCTATTTTCAATGTACTTAATGCATTCAATGTATTTTTTGAACTTTTAACTCGGGATGCATTGATCCAGCTTTTGTAGTTCTGATGCTGATGACACTATGGCTTCAAGTATCTGCTGATACCATCAACCTATACCAGTGCAGAGACCAAAAAGATTTCCTTCCTTATTTCATTTTAAAATAAGACAAAACAGGACCAAATGTGTTATGAAGCTGTTATTTATCTCTCAAGTAACTAGAGAACAGCTTTGTATAAAAAACATTATGAGAATTTCTGGGCCAGCTCCGACCAGTAAATAGTCTTATTGCATCAGTTTAAATGTCCACCCAGGACTTCGACTGAACCGATATTTGGAAGCCGATATCTGATCTAGGGAGGGGATTTTAACCATGTTCTAATGTTTTTACAGAATAAACTTACTTTCAAATGTGTTTCATTAACACAGGTTTGAGTTATAAAACTGTTAAAAACTGTTCTACATGTCCATACACTAATATATTGTAAGATATTTTCACTGAAATAATCTGTAGCAAAACATAGCCTAGTGTGACTGGTGTACTTCTGCATTGTATTGTTTGTGAAGCTTGTGTTGCATGATGGAGCCATGGGACATAGCAGGAGTTTTTGGAGGCGCTCTCTGTTTAATCTGGTTCACAATAATAAAAAATAAGATCAACATGTGTGGCTTTTTATCGCCAAAATTACAAGGGAGGAGATAATGGATAGCATCTCCCTGCACATCTTCTCAAGAATAAATGAAAACAACTGAGAAATATCAGAGCTCAATATGACCGTAAATACAACTTGATATTTTGCCTTTGTATCTGTAATTCTATTTATCTAAAGTAAATTATGTGATAACAAGAGATGACTGACTGTTGTAAATCCAATACTGGATCCAATACTGGATTTACAAAGAGAAGAGACAGCAGTTGAACCCTAAATTTATAAAAGAGGCATGGCAAAGGTCACACCAAGAAGACACAAAAACACAGAAGAAGAGACTGGTGGACCAAGACTGCACAGTAAATCAAACACCATGTATAAACAAAAGGATAATTGAGTGTAATTATATAGTTATTAGCCTATATGAACCTGTTACAATAATTCTAATGAGAACTAGGTGAGTCACACATGCAAATGGCTTCATGATATTTATGAGAAAATGGCTGACCCAGGGGTGACTTAAGTGTGTAAGTGTTCATCTAACAGATAGATTTAAGCAATCACAGTGAAGTATAAACATTCAGAAGATTTCCTCTTAAAGACAGTAGTTACTATAGCTGTGTACATCTTTTTGGAATATCCAACCCATACAAGATCATATTAAATTGTTTATAATATGTACCCTAAATCCTTACCCTAAATTAGAATGTTGGACATAATGTATAAATATCTGTGGCAAAAAAGAGCTGAAGAGCTTTCAGTGGGACACTGTATATCTTTCAGACAATTCACCATTTTTAGCATATCATTAACATGAACAGTGCTGTCGTATTTGAAAAAAAAACGAGAGAAAAAAAAAAAAAAAAAAGCATTTGAGAGCTAGATAAAGACTTGCACATCCTGTCTCATATTTTTCACATTTTGAGTGATTTCTTGTTTTGACAACCATTCAGATCAACTGATATGAGAGTTTTCATGGCAGACCACAGATACTGATTGTTTAGAGTCCACAGCATCTGATGGTCAATAAGCTCTGCTGATATGTAGAGCTGAGATATGATTTGAAATTACAGCTAATCGAAATGTTATCTATACTTTTTACTGCTCTGCATAATTAAGCTATAATAAGGAAAGATAATCTAAATAGAAATAATTTTTAGGCATCCACAACTCTGTTAGCAGTGCAATCTTATTTTGTGCAGTGCCATTATCGCACTAAAGTGTTAAAATATTACTAATACTAAAACTGAAGAACTTTTATGAACAAATACGTCCGGCACAAACCACACGAGACTGCAATAAATAATCTTTGTCTTGTCTCGTCAGCTGCACAAGCCACATTACTCACATTTGTTTATAGTGGTCATTAGAAACAACATACAGTATGCTGACCAAAGTTCATGGTCTTCTGATTTCAACAATAAGCACTTTTGAGTAGAATAACAAGAAGAGAGAGAGAGAAAACAAACTAAAAAAAAAAAAAAAAAAAAAAGTCTCTCTTAAGTCAAGATGTCACATAGTCAGAACAAGTCTTGATGCGGACTACTGACAGTGCAATTCACATTCCTCTGTTTCATGTGTTGAGCGGGATCAGGACAAAAAGCAGCTGTGTCTTGTGTAATAAATATGCCCATGTAATGAATCTGTTTACATGGAGCACCACAAACAAAACGCCAGCTGAATAAGGTTGCAGTGTGGATATGCCAAGTGCAATAGAGATCACATTGTTTCCCTTTATTATGGCTGCTTTCCACAATAAATAAGCTATTTCTCTGCACCAAATATGTTTAATGTGCAATTTAAATGGACAGCTACAATGCACAGTACAGTAGGCCCCAACTAAACCAAAACAAAGGTTAATAATGATAATCTAAAGATATCGGTGGCTAAACCTTAAAGTTGAAATATGAAACCTTTTTCTCATAAATCAGAAAAATCAGCAGACCTTTGTGACAGGTAGATGCTGCTTTTATTTACTGCAAATGAGCCATGTGAGCCTCTATGATGCTTTGGGATTAAGATGATTGGCTGTCCAAGGGTGGCCCACCTTGCTTCACTTTTCTGTCTGAGGCTGTTCTAAATATGTGGCCAAATAATTCTAGCGATGAACAGAGATGTGCCAAAGAGTTTGTGAGATCTTGGGACTAGTTAGATTTATTTTAATACATAGGCTACTTCATTTTTCACACTTTGAAAATCAGGTATCTTCAGCTTTAATCTATTCTTATTGAAATATGAAAATTGTGTTTGTATTTACTATTTTTAAAGGTGGTATTTACTGTAAAGATTTAGGTTTAACATTTTTTGAATTATGAATTTAAAAAAGTTATGTAAAATGGAATGAAAGGTAAGAACGTGGCATTAGGGTTAGAGCACATACAGGACAAATTTACTGACATAAATAAAAGCCCTAAAGGTAGTTCTAACTTACCTTGACGCACGGGGAGAAATAAATCCCACGTTTATTGCAGTGTTAGCCATTCCGACCCGCATTTTGCTGGAAATAGTCCGTTTTTGGGGAACACTTGCGATTGTTGTGTAATCTCCGTAGGTTGCGCGTTTTTCCGCTGCCGCACATTGCACAAGTGTTCTGTTCTTCTGTGCGCCTTCTGCTTTTATACCCCGGACTGCACTGAGCCGCCGTGGCCTCTGGGGGGCTCTGTGGCGGACGAAGCCTCATTTCCTCTCATCAGACGCACTCCGGGCAAAGTGCAATCAGATATGTGATATGTGACTCTGGCTATCAAATTAATATTTAAAATCCAACCACTTTACTCCAGACTCCACCCTGGTAAGTGCTGTCTCTGCCTTTAAATAAACTAAACAAGCTATAACAGTGTAGCCCGTATCATCAGCTCACCACGTGCACAGGAGGGTAATCTATGAGCTACTTATTTAATGAGTGGCCCAATAATGTAGCCAGCAGTGACTATATAGAGAAGTGCCTTTCTTCTCTTGAATGCTTTGTAGGTGATTCTTGATCAGCAACAGAAATGAAAAACATACCTCCATAGCACTGATGTCTCACTGTTTTGCAAGTTAAAACTATAAACTATATGATATGAATATTGTTATAATGTATTTATTTATTTTATGTATTTATTTTGGGCAAGTAAAGATTTATTTTCTTACACAATCGCATATATAAGTGAAATCATAATAGAAATGAAAATAACCAATTTGGACATCAAGAAGCAGAGCTGTCCATTTAGTCAAACTGAATAATCAAGATCAATATTCAGTAAACTGTAAATATATGTCGTTTGATATATTTATTTGAAAGGTGATTTGGGGCGGAGTTCAGATTTTGCAGCAAGAAATTTTAAATTTATCTTTTTTTTGTTTTCAGTGGCTGTCTGTATTGTTTATGTTGACAAAATAAATATAAACAGACATATATAGAGCTAGATCAATATATGAAAAAAAAAACAACTATGACTTATATAAACCACATTTAAAGTATTTAAAGAACACTATAGGTAAGGTGATCAATAGCATCTGGAGAAGAGCTGGGTGTCATTAAGAAGTTGCCGATACGATACATACCTCAATACATAGGGAACGATGCGATAGGCCCATAGACTGTATATGGATAGGCCGTATATATCTCGATACAGTATACTTCCTATTTGATACAATTTGATACAATATATTTTAGATATAATATAATTCAAATCCATTTGATGTGGTTTGTATGTCCCCTTACTAAATAATCAACCCTATTTAAAAAAAATACATTAGTGGTGCATTTATGTTCCATTTATTGAAGATTAATGAACATAAAGTGCTTTTTGTTACCAACTAGAACAATATTTAAACTGTTGCTTTGCTCATTGCTTGTTCATCCACAGCTTATGCACACTCAACATTTACTCATATAAAGAGACATATCCAGTTTAACTGATCTAAAAACTCACAACAAAAATACAAAATCATGGCTGTAATGTAAGTCTCTGTTAGACCACTGCCTATGCAAAGTTAATATGAAATACACACATTTCAAACATCAAAACAGTACATATGTCAGATGTACTACATAAACAACTGTCCTTCCTCTGAATAAGCAACAAAATTGTAGCACTGTCTTAAAATAATTTAGTAAAACATAAAACATACTCCTGGTAATATATCAGAACAACAGTCCACGATACTGTATCATTAAATTAAACTAATATATTGATAGTTCAGTATTTTTGCGCACCCCTAACCTGGAGCACATTAGATCTACTTGTAGATAATATTCTATAGGGGCCATTAATTTGTATAAGAGGCACATTGTCCCATTGAATGGGCCACTTGTTCTGGGCGTTTCCTTTCATTTAATTCCCATGTTGTTTTATTGTTCTAGGTTATTGGTGCATTGTCCCCTTAGCTGAAAATAAAACACGTCCTCCATGGAGCCTCTTCAGAGCGACCTTGACCATGATACTGTATCATTAAATTAAATGATACAATATATTGATGTTTCAAAATTTGTGTATACCACTAATCTGCAGTGCATTAGGTCCACTTGTTGATAATATTCGGGCTGTAAATAGTACATTTCTGTGGCGGCCATTCATTTTTATAAGAGGCACTGTCAAATTGAATGAAGCACTTTAACTGGGTGTTTCCTTTCATTTAATTCCCATGATCTTTTATTGTTCTAGATCACTTGTGCATTTTCCCCTTTGCTAAAAATAAAACATCCTCCACACCTTGGAGCCTCTTCAGAGCGACCTCGGCTGCTCCGTGGTGAGTTCAGTGTGTTAAACTGTAGTAATCCTGCCACTACAAACCAGGGTTAACCCAGAGCATGGTCTGTAAATCCAAGCAGTTTTCCAGCCTCTCTTGTACTCAGCCCCACTGCTGCCTCTGCTAGGTACATTAGGTTTTAATGGCCTGAACGTGTGGAGACGTGTTAAGGGAAAAAACACATGCCAGAAGAAAGTAGTAAAAAGTTACTTTAGCAATAGACAGCTCTGTAATTCAGTTTTACAGAACATTTATTGTGAGAAAGAGTTCTTTAACACTAAAACAAATCTTGCAGAAACCACAATGATCCTGTTCCACCTCGACTGACATTCTCACCTCACAAAAATGCTAAGCTTTAAAAACAGCCAAGAGTATATTTCTATTTGGAGACATTCCACTTTCTGTGTATACACAGTGTCTTCCCTGAAAGTTGAGAGTTATAATCTCTCCAGTGCCCAGGGAGGAATCCAGGAGACATCTGAAACAGGAAACCTAGCCACCTCGAATAGCCCTTCTCAGTCTGGAGGAACAGTGGCTCTACTCCAAGCTCCCACTGGCTTTATGGACTCATATTCAAAATTTAGTCTGACAATCCAATCTGTCTAATCTAAAATGGATAGTGAATGTCTGTGTTTAAGTCCAGGTTATAATTCAAACCTGCTATTGCTTTTGTAGGAAGCTTAAGGCAGTTTTACACTATAATTGAGGTTATTTTATAAACTGCATGCATCCAGCATGACACTGTACTGGAACTATTTTGTCTATAGCAGTCAAACTGCTACAGGCAAAATTGTAGCATCAGTTTGATCTCCATTGACCCACATGGTGATTTTATTTCATTAAGCACAACTATTATTCACAAGACCCCACTAAAAGGTGTGCGATGTCACAATCGTAAATTCACCAATGCTTTTAAGAGGTATTCATTAACAGAATCTAATAAAATCCAATAGAATCTGAGGCAATCACATCTCTACTGCTGGAATTCTGGTCGGGTAAATGTTCACCAAAGCAGACGGTAACAGAATCTAATAAAATCTAATAAAATCTGAGGCTTTCGCATCACTACTGCTGGAATTCCTGCTCAGGTAAAAGTTCACCAGAGCAGAAGGGTTCTTCTCTCCCAGTGCACACAGTAACAGTCTTTGTTACAGCTTATGTGTTGAAAGGATGTTCTGTGATCATTAAAGCATAACATGGGCAAAATATGTATGTGCACAGACATGCCAGAGCTGTGCCCATGTTTTATAACATGTTGTATTTGCACAATTATATAATTCCTGTTAAAAAAAAAAAAGTCTGACTTAAGCAAGCTGACCTTTGGCACTGGGAATTGTTTTAGAAAGTTTTAAAGTGAGTTGCCTCGCTTTAATTTAAAACAAATTAGTGGCATTTTTTTGCATACTTTTACACACTGAAAAATATGCAGTACTGGGAAGAGGGATACTCACTACTCTCCGCCACATGATAACAAATCCCATGACATTGTTCTAGTCCAATCATTATTACAGCTACTTAATAAACTGTACGTCCCTAGTCTGTCCATCCAAAATCAGCCATTTTCAAATGGGGTGAGTGGGACATGGTTGATTTATGATTATTTCTTTTTCTTTTTTTTTTTCAATTATTTGTTTATACATTTTTGATTTATGATTATTTCAATAAGCAGCAATATTCTGGATCAAAAATAGAGCCAATATTCAAATGCAATACAGTGCGGTCTGGCAAAGCTATCAGTGCTCAAGTATTTTTTTCTGTAATAATAAATTTTTTTTACAGTCTGGGTTAAAGTTGGAGGATATACATTTTGGGGTCTTATCACTTCCTTGACTGCACTGACCCTAAAAGCTGTCAACCAAATGTACCCCTAGAAACCCATTGTTGCTTTCTGCCTATGCTACACTCCCGGTTACTTAGCATTAATTACATTAAATGATCAATACAGACTGTCGGCTTCCGTGATGTGGTGTGCAGCTTGGAGCCGCAGCTGATTGTTGGTGGTGTCATTTGACTTAATGTAATAGTCTCACCTTCTGTCACTAATGCACAGTTTCACCTGGACTGGCTTGTACCTCTCAACACTGAACCTAGACATGTTTGTGTGATTTTTGCTATGTATTCTGAGCCCATACGGATGCCATTTGCTTAATTGCATCGTCACGCTGATTGCATGTTTTTTATTCTCAGAGGAACCAGAGGAACACACTATAAAAGAGGAAACCACACACCGCACAGTGAGACAACAGTAACTCAGTGGCTGTGAGCGTCTTTACATCTTTGTCTGTTTTTTGTCAAAGCTGGAGATTCGATTGGCCTTGGACCATCGTTTGACATGCAGTGTTACCTATTTACTTATCTGTTGTATTACGCTGAGCAAATAGCAATGTTTTTTTTCTTGCTGATGTAGTTTTCCAGTAATATTTCAGAGCAAATACAGAAATGTCCAAGTCAACAGATTTATGTTTATAGTTTGGTCATTTAAGGTACTGCCTCTTTCTCCCACTCCTTTTTCGGCATATCTTCTCTCCACCATTGATGGATTATTAACTACACACATGACTCTTATGTTTTTATTAAGGTCGGCTTCTCGTGAGACTTCTGGGAAAGGATAATGGTTAATTGTTGCATCCGATTTGAAGCAATTCATTGAGAAACAGCTACTATTTTTATCCAGCTGCATGTTTTCATACACAAGAACCATGCACAAATGAAAGAACTTTTCCGACATTAGACAGCATTCTCAGTAAGTTATCATGGAACAGTTTACACAAAGTTTTGTGTGAGTTTATTATTCTAACATTTAAATTCTCCCCCTCCTAAGTCCCGAAGACTACAGAA